ATGAGGCATTTTGGCAGCTTCTCCCCTAGGCCTGGATCTGTGCCCTGGGACGACTGCACACTTCCTGGTCCGACCGTCCTCCTCGTGCCTTCCCTTCAGCTCTTGCTGCTTCAGGGCCGTAACCTCTTCGGTCACCCCTCCTGTGGGGAGCTGCCTCCTGCCGAGTCCCCCGACACTTAGGAAGTCCGCTCCCATCTGGGTGAGAATCTCAGATGCGTGTTCTTTGCTACCCATTATCAGCATGATGCTTTCTGAAGCCACGTGTGAACCCAGCCGTTTCTCCCAAAGGAAGGCCCAGTCTTTCCTAGACTGTTTTCCCCTGAGGGAGGTAGGAAAATGGAACGGAGGTGAACTTCCACTCAGCAGGTGGGCGTTAGTGTGTCTCTGGTAAAATTACCTGACCTCCTGTGTCTTGGTTTCTTCATGTGTGAGATGAGGCTAATGACACCCACCTCCCAGGGTAGTTGTGAGGACAAAAATGAGGCAGTTTCCACAGATCCTAGCTCACAGTACATGCTCGGTAAACTTGAGTTTCCTTCTTTCCCTGCTTTCCCTTCAAAGGGCCTCTGTTGAGTCTGTTGTGTCTGACTATTGGAGATACTACAGGAGAAATTCCTGCTCCAGGAGAGGGTTTGGGATTACACTGTCTCTGAAGTTCCTTCCGTTCTACAGTTCTGGGACTCAGATGTTTACTTTGTTCAGACTCTAGAATTCAACTTAGTATGTGTGTGTTTGTGGGGAGAGGGAGGCTGGGGGAGGATGTGGGAGAGGATGACGGGGGAAAGGTGCTGTTGCCCAGGGTACCCCATACCTCAACTGGGGAGCAGTGGACCACCTCAGACTAGTTTGGTATCTATCACCTTGGATTCTGACAGACCCCTGTTGCCTTGGGAGTGAGTGAGCTCCCTATCATGAAAAGTATTCAAGTAGAGGCTGCAGGCCATCTGGCAAGATTGCTGAGGTAGATAGGCTGGATTAGATGACCGAGGAGGTCCCTTCCAGTGCTGGGCTTTCATAATCATGGGATGCCACAGTAGAGCTCTTCAAACTTCAGAGAACCATGGTGGTGCATGGTGACCTGGGCGCACGCTCGCTACTGTGGAGGGAAAGGACTTGGATTGCACCTGGCTTTAGAATCAACTTCCGAATGACTAAAAATTTACTTGGAAGTAAGGATTTTAATAAAGAGAGATGAGTGTAAAATCTTCATTGTATCAGTAACGAGGAGTGTGATGTGGGCATGGAGAGAATCTGGTCTAGCCCAGGGACTTGTAATGCTGAATTCCCACAGAAGAGTCAGGCTTGCCGCGGAAAGCAGGCCCTTCACTGCATGGCTCAGGTGGTGCGATCCAGCAATCTGTCATTCCCACCGCCCACACACCAGGCACTGGAGTAGGCGCCTACTCTGGGGAATGCAGACATGATGGAGACACTGTCCTCAGCCTTATGGAACTGTCTCCAAACTGCAGCACCAAAATGGGCCATGGAGGAGAGGCAGAAGCCTGAGATAGGAATAAAATGTAGGGCAAACATTCAACATTTTACCCAATCTGAATTTAAGCAGAGAAAAAAGGCTCACTGGGGCTTAGAGATGTTTGTAGTTGTTTTTAATTGTATAGAAACACAGTGGACAAATACCCTGATTACAGAGAAGTGTTGCAGTGTTACCAAAGGAGACTTTAGCAGATTTTACATACACCAGGCTGAGGACAGTCCCTCCTGGCCACTGAAGGCAGCTGTTTGGGAGGAAATGCAGGCAGTGTCCTCTTTCTGCAGAAGGGCAGTTGCAGAGGGGCCCAGGAAAGAGAGCCAGCTTGGAGGTAAGAAAGCTGAATGGGCTGGGGGATAGAGACAGATGGATGATCTTGGGACCAGGCATCCCTAGGACCCAGTAGAAGAGTGTCCAAGGAGTAAGCAGGGGGCAGATGAGGCCAAAAGTTAGGGATCTGCCAGGGAGCATGGCCTGATGTAGACTCACATGGGCCAGGGGCCCTCTTCTTGACAAAAGTCAGAGCCTCCGCCTGGCATTTGGATCCCATTCCTCTTCCTTCTCAAGGGCTTACTCCTGTAGTTATCTCTTCTGTCTCCAGCGTTGTCTCTCGCACTCTAGATGATTCCCATAACCAGACAAACATGCTCCGGTATCTCCTTTCTTTAAAAATTCTACCCGCAGTTCCACATTCCCCTCTAGCTATTGCCCATTCTGAGTCCCCCTTCACGGTCTCTACTTCCTCTTCTTCCATTCACTCCTCAAACCATTACCATTGTCCCTGGCACTTAACTATAACTACTCTTGTCAAGGTCAGCAATGACCTTCTTGTTGCCAGGTCCAATGGACACTTCTCAGGGCTCATCTTACTCAGTCTTGTAGCAGTATTCAAGACAGTGGACCCCTCTGATGCTGAATCCTTCCGTGACCCAATATTTGTCTTTCTTTCTTTATTCTACTCTAATTGACTGTCATCTTTAGTCTCCTTGGCTTGCTCCTCCTCTTTTACTTATTTTCCAATATTGGCATTATTCAGGACTCCAGTAAAGCCCTGTCTGCCATTCTCTTTCTCTAGGGAGGGTCCTTTCAGGTACCATGTTTGTAAATGAATGTATTTATACATAAAAGTAAATGATGGCTTCCAAATCTCTATCTTCAGCCTTAGGTCTTCCTTCTGAGCTCCAGACTTGCTTTCCACATGGATGTCTCGTAGACATCTCAAACTTCACTGTCAATTCTCTGCCCCTCCCCAACAAATATATTCCTGCCTCGGGGCTATGCATTCATTGCATTCCTTTATGGCCTGTTGCTCAAGCCAAAAACCCAGAAGTCACCCTTGATTCTCCCTTTTTCTCACCTATCAGCAAGTCTTGTCAGTTCTGCTTCTAGTCCATTCATCTCTCCCTTTCTCCACTGCCATCATCCCAGTCCAAGGGATCATCCTGTCTCGCCTGGATTAGTGCAGCAGCCTTCTAACTGGCCATTATGATTCCATTTTTGCCCTCTCCTAACCCAACCTCCACAAAGGAGTCAGTGTTATTGAAATACTCTTCTGTGGTTCTCCAACCCCTTGCTGTGGCCCACAATGCTTTGAATGTCCTGACTCTTGCTATCTTTCTTATCCCCATTTCCTGCCAGGCTCTTTCGTGTCCACACTGGATCCAGCTGCACTGACCTCTCTTCGTTCCGCAAACCCACAGACCTCCTTTCCACCTTTCGGCTTTTGTACTCGCTCTTCTTTTGGCTGGGAATGCTCATCCTTGGCTCTTTGCATGACTGGCTCCTTCTTACCTCCTTAGGTATTTGCTTAAATCTTACCTTCTCAGGGATGTCTTTGCTGACCATCTTATCTAAAATGAAACCCTCCCCAACTTTATGCTCATATAACCCTATTTATTTCCTTTATAGCACTTAGAACTTTAATTTTCTTATTTACGAATTTGTTTACTTATTTTATTATGTATCTCTTCCTACTGGAATGTAATCTCCAGGAATACAGGGACCTTATCTTTCTTGTTCTTCATTGTATCCGTAGAGCTTAGAATGATTTCAGATGTATAGTAGGTGCTCAAGAAATGTGTAGAATCTATGGCCAACTAAATGTAAGCATCGTTATTGGGAGGCACTGTATGTTCAGGGAGGTGTTTTAGGGTGGTGATCCTGCGCTGTTCCCAGCCTCCACTCTTTGGTAAATAGATCTAGGTCTTCGCACACGGCCACTCACGGGTTCCAGCCCTGGCTCCTGCTCTGTGGTGCTTGGCAAGTCTCTTAACTCTCAGAGCCTTAGTTTACTCATTTGTAAAATGAGGAGTTTGATCTGGATGACTTCTGTGGTCTCTTTAGGCATTTAAAATTGTGATTCTATGGACTCTGAAGCCAACAGAGGCAAGTGACAACGACAACAGCTAACTCTCAATGACTATTTGCTAGGCATTTTGGTAATCAGTTTACATGAATTATCTTATGATAAAATCCATCATTTTCTTGCAGTTTTATTAGATTTGCCCTTGAGGTTTACCTAGATGTGTTTTTCTTTGGTGAGAATAATGGAACTTTTACACCTACTCAAACTTTCTAGGAAACATACACAGAAATAAATTTTACCATCAAATTCACCTCTTATTTTCACATGGAAGTTTTTATTCCTGTCTCACTCTTTTAAATCCTGGTGAATACAATTTAAAGATTGGAACAACAGGTCACAAAGCAGAAGGTAATCAGCTATAGTTATAATGAACCCATAAGTATCTGCTATTTTTTTCCCACACTAATGAATACTGAGGAGTGACAAGCATTGAAACTGGGAAGATTTTTTGCTTTTTCTGGTATTTCCATTGAGATCTATGGAATGGTGTTAAAACATGTGAGAGTCTTGTTGTCTCTGTGCGGTCTGTGGCATTAGCTCCCCTTGCTTTTTCTTCCCAGGTCACTTAGAAACAATCTCAGCAGTCGTCAGAGAGCTGGCTGGCCAGATCTGACAGACACAGTCTGCGCCCTTGACCGGCCTGATCAGACTTCCCTGCCAGGCTCTTGACACCCTAGCTCTGCTACAGACCGAGGGTGACCCTGCTAACTTCTGGAGCAGAGCCTCCCCCACAGGAAGGTGGCATAACAGAGAAACCTCCACAGAACACCGTGGTGGTCTGAACTCTGAGGTGACAGGCCCGTGTCAAGGGTGGCTTCACTCTTAACAGATAGAACTTTTACAAGCGATTTTCCTATTTTCCCCATTTTCAGATAAGAGTAACCTGGCCTCAAGGAAGCCATGCTGAAGGAGGGCAAAGGAGAGCTGGGGCTGTGTGGCTGGGAAGATTCCAGTCACTCGTGTGAAGGAAATTTAATAAGGAAATCTTGGAATTTTTTGAACACTCTGGTGCTAACCAAAACGTGGAGTTGTCTTTTCTGTGCCTTGACAAAGCTATCATGTATTGAGTTCTCTTGTTAAAGTGCATTATTTAAATGGATGTTTTTACTTTAACCAAAGTCCCTGCTGCAGTCTGTGAATGTGACCATGGAGGGAGCAGAGGTATGAGAGGGATACATTTATTCCCCTCTCCTGTTTGCGGAGAGCGATTTCCTCAGAGTAACACCTGTGCCTCTCACTCTGTTTATTGTGTGCTCCTTCCCAATCACGGGGAGCAAGGTACCCTGTTGGGGGCGTAATCAGTGATCCATCTTTTCTGATCAGGTGGGGCTGAGCACTGGGGGTTCCATCTCTTTTATCTCTTCCCTCCTTGACCCAGTCAAGGCAGTGATCCTGGTAAATGCTCTGAATGCTCCAATTTCCCTTGGCTGGGCTCCCCAGGCTGGGGGTGGTGGCAAGTGATGGCAGCAAGTCCATTGGGCCATCATGTCCAAGCCAGATTCTCCAGTAGATGGTGTCCTTCTTCCTGACACTCCTTGACCTCAACAATTAGGTCTCACGTCTAATGATTCAGATGCCAGGGTATGAGCTTTCCTTGAACCAAATGGAGTCTTTCTGTAAAATCCATGTTCATTTAACCTTGGATTTTTATATAAACATACAAAATATTATGAGAAAAAAGTCTCAAAGGAAATACACCAAAACAATTAAAAGTGGTTGTTACAGGGTGAAGGGATTATGGGTGATTTTTATTTTCTTTTGTGCTCATCTTTATCTTCTAGAAAATTTTCTATAATGAACATGCTTTTCTGTTGTGGTATGGAGAAAATAAGTTTGTTTCTCACTTTTTCACCAGGCAAACAAACAAAAACAGAAAGAAAGAAAAAGAAGGAAAGAGAACCCTAGAAACAATGGATTTGCAACAAAACTTAAGGAAGTTAACTACACTGTGGCTGAATCGCTGGCAGGTTGTGGGGAGGGGGAGGCTGGTATCAGAATAAATACTGCGTGTGCTGGTTTGAGGTGGACCAGTGAGATACCCTGGCCTGACAGTTCCTCAGGAGAGGGCACTGCCCTTTTCTTGGTGCAGCCTTTAGTGGGTGGATTCTGTTGGACTCACCCTTTGCAGAGACGGCCTGTCAGGGGGTTCTTACTATTGTAACCAAGCCATCTTGCTTTTCAGATCACAGCAGAGAAGTCTCCTGGAGCCTATTTCCTTCCTGAGTTTGCACTCTCCCCTCAGGGAAGTTTTCTGGAAGATACAACAGGGGAGCAGTTTCTCACCTATCGCTATGACGACCAGGTAAGAACCTCTTTGAAGAGCCTACCTTTGGCTTTGCCATTTGCCAATGGGCAGGAAACAGTTACTCAAAAATAATTCCAAAATAATTATATTTTCCCTTGGGCACAACTTGTATAATAGACCCTGGACACCCTGGAAGGATCCCAAGACCCCCGGGTTGCCCACGCTTGCATACAATTTCATACACAATGTGTGGTTCTTGCTCTGGTTGGGACATTGACTTGAGAGTCACTTTTTCTTATTTTCACCAGAAATATATGATGGATTTGTTCATTTTAGCTGTCACCAAATTTATTATTCAATTCTGAAATTATCCAAAAGTACTCTTTTCTTATTAAGCATTCCTTTCTTCGCCTTCTTAGCTTTTACTTCACCAGCACCAAAATTGTTTTTTTTCCAAGCACCTTTTCCAGAAAGGAACAAAGTAGGTACACCTCTGTGTGTATGCGCACACTTGTGTGCACTTGCGTGTATGTGTATGTGTTTGAATTACTTCATTAAGGCTATCTAGAGAACAAGGCTGTGCTGGGCTGAGATGCGGAAACCGGGCCCTCTGGACTGTGATTCCCTTCCGTTCTCAATTCACATTGATGCCTTAACAGCGTTAAGCGTTATGTACGTCTTTGAAAATCACTCACAACTCATTTGAAACAGAGAATGTCAACTTTGCCAAATGCAGAGGTTTCTAGCTGAAGGGCCTGAATTCATGGGGCAGTGGAGCAAACTGGGATGGGATTTCAGATGAGGGACTTTGATGGATCTGGAGGACCTTGGCACCTACAGCACTGAGTGCGGATGGGGAGTGGGGCAAGAATATCTTCTCACGGCACGTGATGGGTAGAGGAAGATGGCCCAGTGACCGAGGTCCGCTCTGGTGTCCTCATCACTGTAGTTAAGGCCAGCAAGTTCTGGCTGGATTTAGGCGGGCTAGGTATGGGTGAAAGATATTACTCAGAAGGAGCAGCTCTGGGAAAGTCAGTCTGCCATCATGGGTGTATGTAAGATGTGACAACAGGGAGTGGGACCCAGCTCTAGGGCTGGCTGAAGCTAGGCAGAGTGCTGGAGATTAGTCTGGGAGGAGGATTAACGTTTTAGGCAGGATAACAGGCAGATGAGGGATGGAGAATGGAGCATAAAGGGCAGGTGGAGACATCTGTTGCCCTGTACTCTGTATCTTAGCTCAGGGGGAGGTGCCGTTAATTTTGATCATCCAGGCTGCTGCTAAGGGACCTGCGCTTGGTGCATTTAGCTCTGGAGCTGAGGTTGGGATGAGGGGCAGGCTGTGAACCAGCGGACCCAGCTGTGGGCAAGAGCTACCCAGGTAGTTAGGGGCAGGGGTGGGATGAGGCCAATTTAAAAAAAAAAAAATTTCAACATTCTATCACTTTTTCAAGTTAATTGAAAAAGTGGGTGGGGTGGGAGATAATTCTGTCTTCACATTATGGAGCCCAGTTAATACTTTGGACGGGCATCTGGACCTGGTTGCCAATAGGGCCTAAACCATCGTTGAGTCGCTTTCTACCCTTCTCCCCAGTGGATTTTTAGAGGGCCTCTAATTTATGGCTCCTTTTAATCGACAAATCAATGATGTAACAGATTTTCATATGAAGACTTCAGAGAAACTAATTGAGAAAGCAGTGAAGGGTAAAAGAGTGTGTCTGGAGATCATGAGGAATGTAGTTTTTAATTAGAGAGTAGTTAATGCCTTTTCCAGGTTCTACAGATACATTCTATTTAATGTAATAACAATATAAAAGCTAGAAAAAGAGGAAAATAAGCCCCTTTAGTCTTTTCAAAAGGCCTAAAGCAGATCTTAAAAGTATGTGGCATTCTGTGGACATTTTGTCCTGGGACGCAGTGTTCCAGAAAGCCCCAGTGAGCAGCCTATGAAAACATTCTGTTGCCCCCACAGTGTGTTTCCTTTAAGGGAAATGCATAAGGTCGAGTGATAATAAGCCAATAACAGCACCCACCCTGTGCTGCTAAAGGCAAAGAAAACAGGCCTTTGTACCCAACTAGGTGTATCTCTTGAATGAGCCTCCAGAATGGAATCAGCTGGAGACTGTTGACCCGTCACGCCAAGGCCTGATTCTCTTTCCTTGTGATGCTGAGCGTGCAGACTGCATTGTAATATCAGGGAGCTTCTCAGGCGCGGGGGAAAGATAGAATGAACCAAATATCACCCAGCTTGACAAATCCCCTTGTCCTGCAGCGTACAATAAGATGTTTCGACCAATTGAGAACATAGGCTCTGGAGTCAGACTGCTTTGAGTTCAAATCTCAGTTCTGACACTTTACTTGCTGTGTGACTTTGGACACATTACTTCACTTCTCTGTGCCTCGGTTTCCTCATCTGTAAAATGGATATATGAGATATGGATGGTGTCTACCCCGTGGAGATGTTTTAAGGATTAAAGGAGATTATTCATATCAGTCTCGCTGCACATGGCCTCATTCTTATATAAATGCTTACATAAGCATTTACTGTAGCTATTGTTATTACTAAAAATGTCATTGGCAGAGACTCAGTTCAGAGAATCTCAGATATCCTTATGCTAAAGGAAAGGAAGATGCATATTCTCCATTTATATCAGGGTACCTTGCACAATATTTTAAATTAATTTTTTGAGGTATAACATGCATATGGTAAAGTACACACGTATCTGAAGCGCAGAGCTTGTTGAATTTTTAAATATCTTTATACCTGTGTAACCACCACACAGATCAAGAAATTGAACATTTTCAACACCCTAGCAAGCTCCTTGTGCTCCCCCCACCAGTCAATATCCTCCACCCAAGAAGTAATACCACTCTGACTTCTATCACTGTTATACTTTAGTTTTGTTTTTTATTTTTAATTTTACATAAATGGAATCATACAGCACCCAGTCGTTTGTGTCTGGAGTGTTTCATACATCATTATGTCTGAGAGATTCAACCAAGTTGTTGGATCCAACATAATTTTGGGTTTAATGTCTGTCACTTGTACTCTCCAGAACAAATTGTCTCAATATTGGGACAAATTGCATATTGGGACATATTGTGTGGTATGCAGCATTCATTGCTCCTGCACAGAAATCGTCCCTGAAAGGTTTTCAGGGCAGTCCCTCCAAACATTCCATACCTGGGGAGTGCTGCAGGCAGCTTTCCGGGGCAGCCTTGTTACACCCCAGCAGCTGCTGGCTTTCTGTGGCCAGAAGTAGGTGCAGGTCTGTGTGAGTTGCCACCTAGGGCAGTTCTGTGCTATCCCGTGCACAAGTACCTACCTGTGGAGTTTGCAGACATAGGCCAGATGTGTTGTCCTGCTGTCACAGAGGCCTGAAGCCAGTGTGACAAAGTGCTTATGCTCTCGAGGCTGCAGTCAGTTACTGAAGTTGTGGGGTCAGGACTGGGTTCAGTAGGATTTTCCCACCTGTAAAATACTCGTTTGATAAAATTGGAAGCCAGCAGATGGTGTGTAGATATTTGCTCTTTTCCACAACCCTTGTAGGACTTTTTAAAGTATTTTATCCTGGCATATTTTCATGAAGACCTTTAGGTCACTCTTCAAATGTCTGCTGGATTAGGTGTCTGGAAAACTAATAACCCAGAGGCCAGTGAAGCACAGCTGTGATGCAGGCTGCATTCAATGAGTCGCGTAAAAGACATGCTATGGATTCTGTAGGGAGCTGAAGCCGCTTCCAGTGAAGAAAGCAGTTCTGAAGCCAGCGGGGTTACCATGCAGTTGGTGCCAACAGGACTAGTGAGGCAACGTTTGTCTGGTTTCTGCCACTAATTAGCTTCTAATTTAACAAAGTTATTCAACATCTTTAGACCTCCAATTCTTCATTTTTGTTTTGAAAAACAAAGTGACTGGATTTCATGATCTGAACTTCTGCCCCTCTAAAATAGTCTATTTTTCAAAACTACAAATAGAATATTCTACAGTGCAGAGTGTTAATTGGATCATTCTGATTATCAAGGCAGTCTTGCCAGCAATGCAGTAAACTGTTACTTAGAGAATCAGAAAATTTTACAGCTGGTGGAGACTTTGGCTCAAATGCGTCATTTTACAAGTCAAGCAGACAGAGACTCTGTGCAAATGACTTACTCAAGGATGCCCAGATGGTTATTTGAAAAACCTAAGACAGTTACACTCCACACCTCAGGCTCTCCCACTCTGTCTAGCTGCTTCTTTCAGAAGCATTGCTTAGAAAATTGTCTCCCTTCCTAAAAAATCCTGATTCCACTGTTGTAGTCAATAGAGCTTTGGCGACCTTAGTAGACCAAAGGGCATGATTTAATATTAATAGGTTGCTTCATCAGCTCATTCTTAACGCCTTCAGGAATTTGTAATTAGCTATGCTGATAGCATTTATAAGCATAATGATTATCACAACAGGAATGACAGTTTTTTCAAAGTCTGGGTGAAGGATGGCAGCGGAAATGAAGATGGCTGACTTCGCAGCGAGTGAGCACACCCTTGGAAGGAACGCTCTCTGACGTATGGTTGCATCAGTCGTAGAGGTAGTTAAAATGTGTTAGTTTGGGACGACTTCCTAAGGAGCTTGTGGCTGAAAGACTTGTGAGCCAGCCAGCCGCTGGGGTAGATTTTTGTGTTATTCCTCATGGTGGTTTGGAGTTTTGTCCCACAGAGAACCTGTTCATAGGCAAACAGCTGACTGTCAGTCGGTTCTAGGAAGCAGTCTTGAATTCTGCAGTTTGTTTTCCCACTGCTGATGAAGGCAGTACTGAGAGCTGCTCGGTCACTCTCTGCCTTGGTCTCTTTCTGAGTCTTTCCATCCTTACCTTCAACTCACTGAAGCTTTGAACTTGGCGCCTCATAAGTTATTATGGGGACTGATTTAAAAGTCTGTCCCAGGCTTAGTGTTTCTCAGTTGGAAGTCATTTCTTTTTTTAAAAAGTTAGGGAAACTCTTTGTTTTGCACAATATTCTTTTATTTTTGTGTTTTATTTTTTAGCATTTGTCAGGTGCAGGGAAATATGGAAGGTATGTCTTC